ATGCCAAAACCAAGAATGTGATATTAAACAATAGAGTCAATTATTTATTAGAAATGCTGCCTTATAAAATTATTAAACATTTCCATTCATTAATTCAGGAAATATCATTAGTTTCTATCATATTTGACCATATAACCCATATCTAGACCAAGAAACTGAGGCCCAAAGAGGGCAAAAGAACACTGCATGGTTTAAAATCAAGAAAAGTGGGCATGAGAGCTGCATGCTTTCTCCATACCTACTCAATTTCTATGCTGAGCAAATCATTCAGGAAGCTAGACTATGACGAAGAATAAAGGTTAGAGGAAGACTCATCAACAACATGTGTTATGCAGATAACACAACCCTGCTTGCTGAAAGTGAAGAGGACTTGAAACATGATATAAGATCAAAGACAACATTCAACCTTTAATATGCATTATATCACAGCATCAAGAAAACCAAATCAGCAGTAAAAAAAAAAAATATATATATATATATATGTGTTAATCTAGTAAAATCTGCTGTCAAGGAACTCCCAAAGTCCTAAAAAGCAACAATGCCAGTTTAAATACTAGGACAGACTGATTCAAGCCATGGTCTTTTCAATACCTGCTATGCATCTGAAAGCTGGACAATGACAAAGGATGACTAAGAAGAACAAATGCCTGTGAGTTTTGATATTGGAAAAAAAAGATTGAGTATCCCATAAACTATTAAAAGAATAAATGTGTCTTAGAGAAAGTATAACTAGGGGACTCCTTTAGAGGCAAGAGTAGTGAAACTTCATCTCACAGACTTTTTTTTGTTAGGAAGGCTCATTCCTCGGAAAAAGACATTATGCTTGTAAAATGGAGTTTCGGCTAAAAGGAAGAAGGACCTTCAACCAGATGTATTGACAAAGTGACTGTGTCAACAGGCTCATATCTATTAGAGATGATAAGGACGGCACAGGATAAGACAAGGTGCAGATCTGTTATTCACAGGGTCACCGTGAGTCACAGTCAACGTGACTGCACCTAACAACAACTCACCATATTCTCTGGTTCATGTACTGTTAGCATTAAAAGATTTTTAAATGCACAGACAATTATAACAAAAGGTACAAAATTGTAACTATATTGTTGTTGTTATGTGCCCTCGAGTTGCTTGCGACAAATGAAAAGAATTAATAAAGCATTATAATTCTTTAGAAGCTCTCATTTTTCAACCATATCTCATCTTATGATAAGGTGACCCGTGATTCACTATTTTTAATCAATAAAAAAAAGGCTCAAGTTTCATTCTCCGTATCAGAATCCCTTAGTATTGAAAAGTATTGGATAGCCTATAAATAAAGCTTTCATTCTTAGAATTCAGAAAAAAATTTATATTATAAACTCTCTCATCATACCATCTATACATCCAAGACCTTTCCCCTCTCCAAATCATTAAATCTTCATATGTTTTGAGATTGTTTTCAGAAGATGGCTTGGGGAATTATTTTCATTTTTTGTCAGTAGTAATTAGATTATTCCCAGTAGGGAGTGAGGGTAAGAAATAAAAGACTAACTCTAACTGTATGGCAGGCAGTGATATATTAACGCTGTATTTCAGCTCCTTTATCCAATTCAGAACTCTTCTATTTATTGCTTTACATTACTATCCCCACATTTAGGAAGCTCTGGTTAGCACAGTCAGCAAGGAGTTGCATACTAACTCAAGGCTTTCTGGCAGTTCAAATCCACCACTGGCTATGAGAAATAAAGCTCAGCAGTGTCCTCCCACACAATTTTTAGGGCCAGAAACCAAAAAGAGATTCAGCTAAGAGTCAGTTCCAAATCTATGACAATGAGTTTTGAGGGTTTTTTAAATGCCCTCCCCCTCATATATGTTAGAATTTGAACTGCACAGAACAAGGTAAAAAGCAATTAACTAATGAACAGCTTGCTTGTATTCTGTAATTTCTCAAATAACCTACGACTTCTTCTGTAAAGTGGCTTAAATATGCTTAAGCATATGCATCTTAGAGTTTATGAAAGATTCTTAGTAACTGATAGCTATTGGAGGTGATGATGGTCATCTGATCATGTAAGTAGTGATTTCATACATACTGGAAGCCAGCTAAAATTGACAGAAATATTACTGTCTCTGTTCCTCAAATTAAAAAATAATGTATATGAGGAGCGCTGGTGGCCTAGTGGCAAGAAGCTGCACTGCAAACCCAGAGGTACACAGTTCGAATCCACCAGATGCTCTACTGGAAAAGAGGGACAATCTCCTCCTTTACCAGTCAGATCTAATTTGATGGTACAAACACAAAAAATTAAAAAAAAAATAATAAATTTAAAAAATCATATACAAGGCTAATTAAAGAACTAAATAATACATGCAAAATTCCTTACTTATCCCTTTACAGAAATTATAATTCAGTATTTCTCTTGGAGTTTTCAATTTTCTAATTATGATTTGCTCATATTTAAATTGTGGCGACCAACAAATCAAACAATTTACCAAATTAGACATGTATGCTGCCAAGAACCTCTTTAAAGTGCTAAGGAGAAAGAATGTCACTTTATAATCTAATGTGCACCTGCCTCCCACTATAATATATTCAGTCCCTTTATATATGTGAAAGAAACGTGGATGATGAATAAAGAAGACTGAAAAAGAAGTGTGAATCGTAGTCTTAACAAAGAATACTGAAAATGCTATGGGTGGCCAAAGAACAAGAAAACCTGCCTTGGAAGAAATGCTACCAAACTGCTTTTTAGAAATGAGAATGGTGAGACTTCATCTCACACATTTTTTAATATATTATTACCAAAAATCAGCCTCTAAAGAAAGATAGCACAACTGAAAATTGGGAAGACCAGTGAAAAAAAAAGAGCCTCAATAAAACAGATTGACACAGAAGGTGCAACAATGGAATTAAGTAAAGCAGAGATTATGACACTGCATGAAGCACAGTTTCACCCTGTTGTCACTAAGAGTGGGAGCCAACTCAAAGGCATCTAACAACTGTAAACTGTATGACTATTGGATTAGGCATCCAGTGGTAACCAGAACTCACTGGTGGGGTAGAGGTGAAATACTCCAGTTAAAAATTATATATAAACCTTCTTTTTAGTAAAAAAAAAATCTTCAATCCTCCATACAATACTCCAAGAAAGTAAGTTTGAAATACCAAAAATAGCTATTAATTTTAGAAGGAGGAAATCAGAATTTCCATAGTTCTCCTCAAGTTAAGAGAGAAAAACTACAAACAGAAAGAAAAATAACTTGAAGCATAACAATCTAGAATGTTATGAGATCTGAAAGGTATTCTTAGAAGAGAGTTGATTAAGAAAGTGCAGAAATGTTTAAATTCTTGGTTCTAATACATATTCTTCCCTGCCCTCCTCAATTCTAGTGACCCTGCAGAACAGAGTAAAACTGTCATACTGTATATTTTTCTTAACTAAATAAAATCAGTCATACTTTCCAACTTCAAATTATGACAATGAGAACACAGATTGGGAGAGCAATAACAGATTTTAGGATACATATTTATAGACGTTAAAGTTACTGGCTCTGAAATCACTTACTACTCCCAACTCAGAAATAAATTTGTAAATATTATGGTAAGACCTATAAATATCACTTTAAAGTAAGATGACCATATTTATACAGGTGCATATAATAAAATGTGAAAACTGCTCTGAATTTGGAATGACAAAGTTTATAGGGAGGAAATCATTCAGAAGTTCCTTTTTATTGGTAAATTATTCTCCACTCCTCACCCCAAGGCTGTGAAACATGTAGATATAAAAAGGAAGGAAATTTTTAATATTTTAATTAAAAATTTATATTCTAATTTATCTTTAACTTTACATAAGACACTAGAGTTTTGTTTTGTTTTGTTTTTTTTTTTTGTAAAGTCATTCCATTCAGGATCTGGGAGTACTGCTTTCCTGATTCCTTCTTACTAATGTCTAAAAATTATACAACATAGCATTCAGGCAGCAGTCAACTTTTCAAGGTCTGACTTTCATTGGTTCAACTTTTGTGAAAGGAGGGTTGGTTTGTGTTATATTTTTGGTCATAATTACCACCAAAGTGTTTAGAAAAATAAATGTGCACTGCTTTGGCTTTACGGGTCTATAATGTGTGTTCCTGTGGGAAACACTTCATGAAAATTCATTCCTAGCCTGCCCCAAGGCTACTGTACACATTTTACAATTCACTTAATAGCCATTTCAGACAGCCCACTTGAAGATTAGTTTCAAGGGACCAAAGTACAACTCTCATTACCATCACTTCTCTCCAAAATCAACATCTCAAATGAGGAAAGTGAAGTGGAAAAAAACAAAGCCATGAATAATTTGCCAATCACACCTCTTTCCTAAACAGTTAATAGTTTGTCATCATGATGTTTAAATTAAGCATCTTAGATGAAAACAGATGGTACTTTGTCACTTATTGGATTTAAAGGCACAGTTGAGATAGGGTCTGCCATTAAAGATTCTACTTATTCTCCAATATAAGCAAATAGACCATCTTTCTTTTTCTTCTTTTCTTCCCTCTTCCCCCCCCTATCATTTTGTATTCCCTCCCTCCCTCCCTCCTTCCTTCTTTCTTATCCATCTACCAATCTGACAGTTAAAATCGTAACTTTCCCTAATGTTGATTCTAAGTATAGTTGATTTATAGCATGGAACAGGAGGTAAATAAACACTCTGTTGAGCAGAGTGGAATTAAGCATCCAGTCACAGACAGAAAGCCAATACTATACAAATGAGACCACATAACATTGACAGCCATCAACATCTGCATGCAACTTAACTACTATTACACACGAATCTCTCAGGATACACTGTGTTATCTTGTCTCTCAGTGGCTCTCTCTACTTTGTTTCCGCCTTGGACATGATAAACGCATTTGAGAAAGTCACAGCAAAAGATTAACGCGCTTGTAACTATCCACAACATCTTTTACACTTTTAAATAGCTGCTTTCCCTTCAACTAATCCCCCCCTCCAATGCCATCCAGTTAATACTTACTCACGAAGGCTTCCTCATCTGTTGGCAAACGTAATGACATGCACAAGTACGTATCAGACTATTAAAAGAGAGAAAAAGATAAAATTCTAATTAAACTGCAGTTACAAGAATATAATAACTGTTAAAAACATGATCTCTATCATTGAAATGAATTACTGGCCTAAGGGCTGAGTGTCAATTAATGGAGGAGCTTTGGCAGTTTAGTGGTAAGGAAATACACTTCCAACCCTAAAGTACATGGTTCTAATCCATCAGCTGCTCCACGGGAGCAAGACCGGCAATCTCCTTCTGTGTGATTTATAGTCTCTGAAAACTTACTAGAGGGTCTTGTTGAGGGAACTCAACAATAAAAACATAGACTGAGTTATTTTCTAAGATTATTTCCTACTTGACTTCAGATCCTATTTATAATTCAATTAATATGAACATTATTTCTTATACTGTCATAGGTAAAAGGCACTTATATAAAAAGCAAGGTGGCATAGTTTAAAGCCTGTGGTTTTAAAATGGCGTAAGTTCATTTCAAATGATCATATTTCATTTATTTAAACTTTTTATTGATATTCAAGAAAAAGTTCACAAAGAAAATTCATCTTCTTACAACAATTCATACACATATTGCTTTGTAACACTGACCGCAATCCCCACAACAGCACCACCTCCTATCTGTGAATACCATTTCCATTCATTCTGTTTTCCTAGTTCTTCCAGCTTTCTGAGCTTTATCCCTGGGTAAATGCTCCCTTTTTGATCTCATATGGTTGGCAGTTCTAAGGAGTGCACACCTTGTTAGTGTTCTAGTTCATTTTTCATAGACTTATTATTTGACTGGAAGTTAAGGTGTTAAGTTCAAATTCAGATGTGAAGAGTATCTCACAGTCTCAGAGAATCCATCAGTCTCTATCCTGTCAGTAAGCTGATTATCTTATTGTTGTTATTTGCGTGTTTGTTTTTTTTATTATTTTGAGGTTTGTTCCAGTTTTCTTCCTCTCTATTCACAGCTCCAATTGAGTTTCCTGTCAGAACTGTCATCAGTGGTAGCTGAGAATCACTTGGTTCTCCAGTTTTGCTTTCCTGCAGTTAAGTATTTCATTTCCTGAATCACTTTGCAATGGTCCCAAATATTAATCAGTACAACGAACAAATTTTGGTTATAAAACATAATATTTAGATCTTATCCTCTTACTTTAAGATCTTTTATATAGCACATTGGCAAAATCAACATTAATTCAGTTATTCTTTCTTTTCCAGTTATTAATCTTTTATTTAAATGACAGTTTTTCATTATTAACCTTAGTTTTTCATTTTATGGAAAACGGGTTTGTGTAATAGTTGAATTAAATGCCTTTAATGGAAATTTTCTAATTTCACTTTGTATAATGTGATGTATGCAATGAAGTATGTGCTATGGTTGAGAACATAAACATAAGCTATACATATATAACAGTTCATACTTTAGGGATTATAACTATGCAAGAGTTTCTATTGTGATAAATAGAGGCCATTTCCCCCCCTTAACTTATAGCTTGTTGTTGTGGGCCAAGGAAGAATTGGATCTGACCCAAAGCTCACCCTCCAGGGGGTTTTCAGAAGCGAATTTAAAAATTATGACATTTTTACCTCTCTTTTTACTTATATGTTGGGAAGCAAGTGGGTTTCAAGAATACCATTTTAGTAGTATATGAGTATCTTAAAATTAGAAAAATCACATTAATATAATTCATTGTAATTAATGTTATATATGTAACTTTCCCCCTCATCTGAGTAGACTGCTTTTTTTCTTAAGAGGCTTTCATTACTTAAACTCATCCTTACTCTGCCAATGAGAAATTATGAGGATTTCACTGTAAAACAGTACAGCCCATGAAAATGCTAGAGAAATAAACTATATATCCTAAACCAAAGAATATATAGGCAAAATAATTACATATTCACATTATTCTCCACCCACCCCATCTGCAAAGTCTAAGGTACTGTTTGGAGCTCTGGTGGCCTAGTGGCAAGAAGCTGTGCTGCAATCCTGAAGGCACATGGTTTGAGTCTACTACCTACACTTCAGGAGAAGGATGGACAATCTCTTTGCAGTTAAGTGCCTCTGAAAACCACCAGAGGGTTAGCTATAGGTCAGTTCTGACTCTAATATACATAACAGCAACAACAACAACAAAGTACTGTTACCAAACATAATCTCTTTAACCAACAGTTTAAGTTCAAGTAATAGTCTTTTATATTTTATCTACTCACATAAAAGTTTACAACCCAAGAAACACTAAAAGGAAGATTTATTAGGATTTCTGAATCTAATTCACCAGCACCACACCAACATAGCTGATGCTGCTACTACTAACTAAGCTTTTGCTTATTGAGTCTTTATTAGGATATCAAGTATTGTTCATAATGTTTGACTTTTGTTGATGCTATCGACTCATAACAGACCCTTTAGCAGATTTCCAGAGGCTGTAGACTCCACAGTAGGAGATGCCTTTCTTTCTCCCCTGGAGCAGCTGGTGGGTCTGACTGAACCACCCGCCTTTGGATGGCCAGCACAAGTCCTTATCCACTAGACCACCAGAACTCCCTGCCTTGAATTATATAATCTAGTGATTTTTAAAATCTTATTTTATAGCTAGATACTATCCACACTAATAGCTAACATTTATTAGAGTTTACTATATGCCAACATTATTCTAAATAACTTTTCTAATTTTAGTCAATGAATTTTCAAGACACTTTTTTATGGTATAAATATTATAGTTCATTTTATAGCAAAGAAAAGTGAAAAAAAACCAATGTTAAGTAACTTGGCTAAAGTCTTGTAGATAAGTACAAACACTGGTGTTTGAGCAGAAGTTGAGAAATGCAGTACAGACAATGCAAAATAATGAGACAATTAATTATGTAAATGGAAATATACAAACAAAAAAAGTCGTTAAGTATATATTGATAACACTGAAGGATCAAAGGATCCTTTTGTTTGTATGAAATATAAACTAAAGAGAAGTCCATTTTAATTTGGAATAACATTTTCATTTTTTATTTGAGTTTATTAAAAGTAATTACAAGTTTTTTACAAAACAAAGTTGCAGGCATAAACATATTAAATCCAACAAGTTGGTTATCCTGTCAACAAAATGTAAGCATAATGTGGTTACAAAGTCAGAATAAAGTAAACCACTATGCTATTTAGAAGCCCTGGCAACCATTCATAGAGAAATACACTGCTAATCCAAAAGATGGATTTGGTGGGTTTCTCTAGTAGATTCTCAGATTCCCATCAGCTATTAGTTGGTTCTGATTCATGGCAAACATTTTTTTTTTAAGTTGTTATTTAGTACTCATCATTTCAATTCCATGGGCTGCTCCATTTAAATAATAGGAAAGTTCTTCATCAGTTTATTTTTTCTAATAATATATTCTCTTATAAGGAGTTCTGGTGGCTTAGTGGTAGTTGGAGTTGGAGTCCCAATCCAAAGGCACTTAGTTTAAATCCACCAGCTTCCCCATGGGAAAAAGATGGGTAATCTGCAGTTTCCTGCCTCTGAAAACCCGTTGGTGGGTAGCAATACATTGGTTCTGACTCAACATAACAGCACAACTTCTCTGTTGTTGTTGTTATGTGCCGTCGAGTTGCTTGTGACTCAATAGCGACCCTATGTACAACAGCCCTAAACCCTGCTCTATCCTGTACCAATTACACTGCCTCTGAAACACCCATCCCGATTACCCCAGTCACTGAATCAATCTACCTCATTCCCTTTCTGTGCCGTCCCTCTACCCTCCCAAGCATGATGTCCCTCTCTAAGGACCTGTCCCTCCTTACAACATGTCCAAAGTATGTCAGACGAAGCCTCAGAATCCTTGCCTCCAAGGAGCAACCTGGTTTAACCCTCTCCAGGGTGAACTACTCTAACAGTGAAAATATACTCAGCTTTCAACTATTTCTAATAAAAGAGGCAGGAGGCATGGACAAAATTCTCTATAGAATACGCAATCATTTTGGGAGAGCAAAGTCTAGAAGAGATATTACATTGATGTTAAGTATATCAAGACATTTCCAACTCATAACAACTCTATGAACAAATGTGGACCAGTCTCATCTCACCTTCACAATCCTGGCTATGTATAAATCCATTGTTGAAACCACTATGCCAATCAATGACCTTCTCTTTTGTTACTCTACCAAGCATGATTTCCTTCTCAAAAAATTGATCTCTCCTAATACCACTTCCAGATTACTTGAGATAAAGTGTAGCCATCCTTGTTTCTAAGGAGAATTCTAGCTGTACTTTTTTCCAAGATAGGTCTGTTCATTCTTCTCATTGTGCACGGTATAATTTTTACCAACACCATAATTTAAACACATCAATTCTTTCTCAGTCTTTCTTATTCACTGTTTAAGATTTATTATGTATACATAGAAATAAAACAACAAACAAAAAAAACCACAATACTGTACAGTCAGAAAGGGACCAACTTACTACATGTGATCTTCCATTGGAATGAAGACACTGCAAATTGTTCTGGAGAGGCTAGTGGATTCAAACAGCCAGAGTGGCACTGCCTTTGAGTTAGCAGTGCATTTTCCTATGAAGTGGTTTTTATTTCTACCTTTTTTTTTTAAAAAAAAGAGACTAGCTAATCAAAAAACACCTTGTACACTTTAGTCCTCAGAGTAGTATCTTTCCATTAAACAACTCCCCACCAAAAAGTGAAACCCAATCAAAACACTTTTTTTAAAAAGTCTTTTTTAGTATATTTGCCCAATTTTCCATGTAAAATTAAATCTTTTATAATTTTAAACATTTCTACAGCTCTGGTGGCCTAATAGCAAGAAGCTGTGCTGCAATCCTGAAGACTCACAGTTCAAGGCCACCAGCTGTGTTGCGGGAGGAGGAAGGGCAATCTCCTCCCAGGAGATTAACTGCCTCTGAAAACCCGCTGGAGGGTTAGCTATCAGTCGGTTCCAACTGTACAGTACACAACATTAATAACATATTTAAGTATGTTGCTTCTTGGCTCAGTCGTGAGTAGTCTTTTTTTCTCCCTCCTTCATGTTAA